CATTGTCTAGTCTTTGGGCACAAAAGTTAATCAAAGGCAGGAAAAATAATCCACAAGAGAATATTAACAGCTTGGGGGGGTGGGGAAGCATCCTTGGCCCTAATATACCTTGTTCAGGTTTCTGAACCAAATTCAGTTTCGCTAGCAAACTGTCCCTGTCTCACTGGTTTCATATGCATGTGCTACATCAGCCTGACTCCAGCTGAATGCCTATCTATAGGGTCTAGCACATCTGCAGGCAGTAGGTTCTTTTGAGTTCTCCACCCTGATGTGGAGGGGCTGATAGTTGCATGCAAACATCTTTCAATATATAAATCAGAGTGGATCTAGCCCCAGATCCTTTACTTGAGACACTTAAAAGTGTTGTTTTTCTGGAGAACTAAAAAAACAGGCTATCTTGAATCAGAGGTGCAAATGTCTTTTTCCAAGTCAAGTCTCCAATAACTTCTATTTTACTTTTTCCTCCCAAAAACAACTCTTGAGTGCTGGGCCCATGAGAATCAAGAATTTGAGAAGCATTGAGTAGATCTAGAAAAATGTGGGTAATATAATGGGCAAAGGAGATGGGCATGGGTGTCAAACACACTGAAGAAATAGGATTTTTCCTCCTCTCCTTATGTCTCCTGAATCTAACCATAGAACTCTATTACATTCTCTGTCACTTCCACAAAATTCCATAACCTCTTTTAAAAATATACTTACCAGAGTAAAGGATGTAGTTTGCAGTCTTGTTGGTGCTCCTTGACATAATTAGCCTTTAGCATCAGTTCACAAACCTAGGTCATTTTACTTCTAGGTCCCTGAACTTATTAGACAGACTATAAAAACCTAGGTTTTTTTATTAGCTCACATAAAATAGAATTTAATTGGATTCTTCTTTATCTCCCTTTGATAGACTGTCTACTTTTACTTTATTTTTATTTTTATATTTTTTAAAGATTTTATTTTTAAGTAATCTCTATACCCAGTGTGGAGCTTAAACTTACAACCCCCAGATCAGGAATTGCCATGTGCTCTACTGACTGAGCCAGCCAGGTGCCCTACTTTCCTTTTCTTTCCCTTTTCCCTTTCCTTTCCCTTCCTTTCTACAGGAAAAATAAAAGTTTTAAATTTAAGGCTGATAACTCTATAGTGTTAAGACTGAAGACTGTTTTTAAAAATTTACTTTTTGTTTTTTAATTAAAAAAATTTTTTAAAGATTGTATTAAAAAAAAAGGTTGTATTTTTTTTAAGTCATCTCTACAGCCAATATGGGGCTCGAACTCATAACACCATTATCAAGAGTCACTGCTCCTCCAACTGAGCCAACCAGGTATCCCTGAAAACTTTTTTTTTTAAAGATTTTATTTATTTATTTGTCAGAGAGAGAAAGTGAGAGCACAAACAGAGGGAGCGGCAGGCAGAGGGAGAAGCAGACTCCCCGCTGATCAGGGAGCCCGATGCAGGACTCAATCCCAGGACCCTGGGATCATGACCCAAGCTGAAGGTAGATGCTTAACCGACTGAGCCACCCAGGCGTCCCCTGAAAACTTTATTTTAATTAAATCAATATCCTTAAATTTATTGTAATACCTAATATTTTCCCAGATCATATGAACATGAAATTCATTTGGACTTAGTTTCTCTTTTTTTTAAAAGATTTTATTTATTTATTTGTCAGAGAGAGAGAGAGAGCACAAAGCAGGGGGAGCGACAGGCAGAGGGAGAAGCAGGTTCCCCACTGAGCAGGGAGCCCGATGTGGGACTCGATCCCAGGACCCTGGGACCATGACCCGAGCTGAAGACAGACGCTTAACTGACTGAGCCACTCAGGTGTCCCTCTATTTTATTTTTGAGAATTTTTATGAATACTAAATATATGTGAGTGCAATTTTTTTTTTTCTTTTGGCTTCTTTGATGTGGCCTCTTCTCTACCTTTAGTTGTGGAGCTTATTCTGCCAGTCTTCAGGTCAATTTCTGGGGTACTTTGGATGATTTAATTATCTAGTTGTATTTGTGGGATGAGTGAGCCTAGGGTCCTCCTACTCTGCTGCCATCTTCCAATCTCCTTCTGATACTGTCTACTTTTAGAGGAGAGAAATTGTATTAAATCTTAGGATGCATGAAAATCCTTTTTTTTTTTTCTTTTTCTTTTTTCTAGATCTATTTCTGTTTCTCAGAGTAGTAGGACTCTAGAGCAATGGGAGCTGGGTGTCATATCTAGTGAGCTGTGATTCTGTATTATTTTGTTTCCTTTTTTCCTAGGGATAAGAGATGTTCCACCAATTTCCAGATCAAAGTTAAGAATTTCTGAATGATCAGGGCACCTGGGTGGCTCAGTTGGTTAAGCGACTGCCTTCAGCTCAGGTCATGATCCTGGACTCCCAGGATCGAGTCCCGCATCGGGCTCCCTGCTCAGCAGGGAGTCTGCTTCTCCCTCTGACCCTCCCCCCTCTCATGCTCTCTCTCTCTCTCATTCTCTCTCTCAAATAAATAAATAAAATCTTTAAAAAATAAAAAAAAAAGAATTTCTGAATGATCAGATTGTTTGCTTATAGAATGGAGAGAAGGAAAAGAAATTGGATGGATGAACCTGAAACTTCTTATCCAGTATTTCCAGTTAGAAAGTTTAGCCTGCCTAGCCCTAGTATCATCTTTTGAATGTAACTAAGATACTAGTTTTTGGAAATATTCACTTCCCATCATCCAATCTGGATTATACAATACCCACAGGGTATACACACTGGGAGATAGTAGAGTAATTAATCATAACGGAGCTAATACCTATTGTTTACCAAGTGCCAAAGACTTTCCTAAGGGCTTTATATGTATTGTCTTATTTCACTACCATTCTAGGAAATAGATACTCTTTATTTATCCTGTTTCACAGGTGAGAAAAGATAGACATGTGAGGTAATTTTCTGTGTCCCTCAGTTTGTGACAGAACTGAACTAGAACTTAGATTTGATTCCAAAGGCTAATGGAGTAGGTTTTATCTCCATTTAGCAAATGAGTGATTTAGAGATGTTAAGTACCTTGACATAAAGTCACATAAGTAATAATGGTGGTGTCAGCATTTGAACTCATGGTCTGTCTCTCTCTAAAACTTGTGGTTTTAACTTTTTTTTTAAGATTTATTTATTTGAGAGGTAGAGAGCATCAGTGGCAGAGGCAGAGGGAGAGGGAGAGAGAATCTCAAGCAGACTCCCCACTGAGCTTGGAGCCCAAGGGGGGCGGGGCACGACCCTGAGATGATGCCCTGAGCCAAAACCAAGAGTCGGGCACTTAACTGACTGCACCACCCAGGCGCCCCTATTTTAAATTCTAAAATATTGAGCATCAAGAAATAAAGTAGGAGAACAAAACACCCTGAGAATGTTAGAGTTTTTAAAAAAATTAAAATAGTTTGACTGGCTTTATAAATCCCATTAGAAATCAGGTCTTAGAGATTAAGGTTTTTGTACCACATTGTTAGGCTAAGGGAGAAGAAATCAACGAAGGGCCTAAAAGGCAAGGATGACTTGGCTTATAATGAATGAGAACCTCTGAGGGCAGAAAAGGGACTTTAAAAAAATATGGTAGCACTGAGCGATGCCTTTAGTAATTTATGTATTGCATTTGGCTGCTGTTCTTCCAGTCTCCCTTGCGGCTCCCACATTGAGGCTGTTCCCACCCTTCCTGTGTCCCTTGAGCTGAGCAGGCACTTCCTGTCCTGTTGGAAATGAAAGTTAGAGGTTGGGGGTGGTGTGTGGTATGTGTGTATTTACTCTGCAGATTGTTAGTCCCGTCTGTCCCATTATCAGAGCAAAAAGGTGACCAGAAAACTAGAAGAGAGACTGGGGCTTCATTTAAGGGAGGATTTGGGCTTAAGGTTTGTTGTGGCAAAGGAGACAGGGTTAATTTGTGTTTTGAGAGAATATCTGTGATGGCAGAAGGTGACCTGAAGAAGGGATTTGAAGGCTTTGATTTTACATCCCTGTTTCATTTGGATTGGTAGGAATTACTGGGTATTGTTCTTGAATTTTGGTTTTCTACAAGTTTCTTATTAAGGCTACTTCCACAGGTCATTACTTTGAAACTGAGGTGAGTGTTGTCTCAACTGTGTTAGGTTCTTCTTGCCTAAGAACTTTGTATTTTCTTCTCTGTGAAGCATATGCTTTTTAAAAGTAATTTTTTCCTACAGCTCAGAGACAACTTGAAGCAAACATTCCAACTCTGTGAACTTCAGTTTGGGCATAAATTCCAGGTTTGGTGAGTAACTCTTAATTGTTTCAGCTTCGTAGACCTTGAAGACTAGAAAATGGTGGGGTAAAGAGTCAAACAAGATAGCTTACAGTTGTTGAACAAACTGCTAGGTAGGCAGTTTTACCTCAGTAAAGCTGGGAGGAAAGAAAGGAAACCATTAGACACCAAATTTATGACATAGTCCAGTTTGATAATTCCTTCTTAGGTATGAAATCATGCCTGAGGGAATCTGGAAAGGAGTGAGAGACATTAGCCCATCGCCGTGACCCAAGATGAATAGAACTATCTGAGGATCTGAAACTAGTTACTTTCCATACTCTGTCTCAGCTCTCTGGCAAGCTCTTCTGTTTGTCCTTTCTTCGTGCGTGAAGACCACTGTTAAGTATAAAGTGTGGGAAAAGTCCTGAGCTCCTCTCACATATTCCTTCTCAGTATAGTTGTCCTCACGTGTTCTCTGAGGCAGTGTGTCCCAGTGGCCCCTTTAAAATCAAGCTTGAAAGCTGTTTCTAAATCTTCTAGCTCTAAGGCAAAAAAAAAAAAAAAAAAATCCTCAGTGTCTTTTCAGAGGAATCAGAACTTGCTCTTATTGGAAAAGGGGTGGAGTTGAAAGGGGTAGACCTAAGAACTTTTCTTTCTGCTTTAACTACCAAGGCTGTGAAAAATAAAATAACATCTGGGGCATTAGGACCCAGTGGAAGTGCCTCATTCAGACTCTTGGTTAACTTCTCTCGGTGACGTAAGCAAGCAGCCCTAGCTCATTCTCTACCCGCCCCCCCATTCCTCTCCCTCTTGCTCCTTTTCTCCCCCTTTCTCCTCCCCCTCCCTTTTCCCTCTCATTTTCTCTTTCCCCCTCTCTTCCCCCTCCCTTTCCCTCTCCCTCTTCTCTCTCTCAGCTCCCTTACATTAAAGAGAAAATGCTGCTATCAGTGACTTCCAGGCCTGGGATTTCGACTTTTGGCTATAACAAGAACAACAAGAAGGTAGGGAAAAGTGCTTTTTTGGAATCCAGCGACTTCCTTTCCTGGGGATCCGGGAGTGCCCTTGGCTTTAACATTCTTCCTAAGAGGGGATCGGAATTCCTCTCTCCACTCAGCGCCTCTCCCTTTTCCACCACTTCTTTCGGCATCTTTTTCTCACCTGGTTTTGAAGTTCCAGCAGTTTACAGTCCCTGTGTGTGAGGCCTGAGAAGGCAGGGGAATTAAAAACAAATCAAGCTTGTAAGTTTGTATCTTTGTGAAATGAAGTTAGTTTGACTTCCTGCTGATATACCTAGTCTCCACTGGGATAATATGTCATCTCAAACCCTAGTCCCTTGCCCACTCCCTCCAAGGTTATTTTTATCTTTTTGATGAACTGTTTCTACTCCCCCCCTCCCCCCGCCCTTCCTTTCTGCCCACTCCACCAGCATTATCAGGTAGCTGAAATATATAGTCTGTGAAATCACAACAGCTTCATCAAGAACTGGGTATACTCTTCTAGACTAGGTAGAGACCCTACCTCACCCAGCCCGTAGGGAAGGAGTCCTAAGAGAGATCGTACCTTGGAATTAAGGCGGAAAGCTCTGTGATTCTTTGGGTTCTGCTGCTGAGCTGGTGCTTGGACCTCTGCTGATAAGCCAGGCTCAGCAGGGATCCTTAGAGTCTTTGTGATTAACCCACAGTTGCCAGAGAATTGTGGTATGCTTGGGAGCATGGGCAGTCAAATGAGAGGTGGATAGTCATGCCCACATTCACCAGAGACTATCCTTGACAGTTTCTTGGCATTTCAGGGCACACAGTGCTGATTAGGAGGAACTTCATACTGTAGGAGAAAGACCCTTTACCCTCTCTCTTGGCGTATAGCTGTTTGAAGAAAAAAGATGCCATGAATGTGTAGGGATCTTTTGCCCATCTGATGGAGCGTTGGAGGGTTTGGGAAGGATTCCTGCTGCTGCTTTCTCATGTATCTAAAGATACTATTATAGGTAATTTAAACAAAGTGTCTGATCAAGGCAGTGGGGAAATGTTTAGACCCAAAACACTTAGTGTCAGTTTATAATGGTATTCATTCTGTTTATATCCTTAAGAAATATGACTCCATATATATTTGTTGGTTATCAATAATACACATACACATATGAATATATAATTTTGATAGAACTTTTTAAAGGATTTTATTCATTTATTTTAGATAGAGAGCGCATGAGTTGGGGGGAGGGGCAGAGGGAACAGGAGAAGCAGGCTCCCTGATCTGCGGGGAGCCCAACGTGGTGCTGGGGGCTCCATCCCAGGACCCTGAGATCATGACCCAAGCCGACGGCAGACGCTTAACCAACTGAGCCACCTGGTCACCCCCAGAAAGATATTTCATCTATTTTTATTCCTTTCAAAATTTATATAGTACTATATGAAACTTAATTTTTTTTTTCTCCAAGTCTCTCAGGTTACCTAGACCCATTAAAATAAAGTGAAAAGAATTCCAGAAGTTAGTTTTTTTCCTCTTAGGGGTTTCATGTATTCAGTGGTATCTAAAATCTTCTCGCTGCCTTCACTCCCTTCCTATCTTGTAGTGTAGGAAACACTTAACCAGCTTCTAAATCTAGGATACCATAGGGGACAAAGAGGTGTAGTTGTGGACTAGGATTCAAATCTCATTATCCCTTCTGATAACTCGTAAGGTTTGAGAAGCAAGCAAGAATTGTGTGGGTTCTTACAAGTCAGTGTTATGATGACATCACTTTGTGGCTGTATATATGACTCCTTGTGTGTATATATAGGTTGGTGAATAGTGGATATACTTAAAGCATTACTATGTTGCTCTTTGTCTTTGTGTTGACATGTAGTGCTTAATGTGTTTGTTTCTCTTTTAGGAAGAGTGTTTAGATGGATTTGTTCGTGTAATTTGTAAATTTTTACACTCAAGGTTACGTATTTCACAATTTTTTTAAAACATTTTATTTATTTGAGAGAGAGAGAGCATGCACACAGAGGGGAGGGGCAGAGCGAGAGGGAAAAAGAGTCTCAAGCTGACTCTGCGCTGTGTGTGGATCCCAATTGCAGGGCTTGATCCCAGCACCCTGAGATCAAGACCTGAGCCAAAACCAAGAGTCAGCCGCTTAACCAACTGTGCCACCCAGGCGCCCCCAAGGTTACATTTTTAAAATAACTTTTGTTTTTAGTAATAAATTTAAGACATGCCCATAAAAAAAGTAAGCATAAGGGGGTATATAAAATAAAAAGTTAAGTCTTCCTTTCCTGTCCTAAAGTTCCTTACCCAAATCCTACCCCTCAAGGAGAATAACTCAATAACTCAATAACTCAAGCAATTTGGTGTATATATCCCACTAGACTTTTCTATGACAAGGTTAAGTTTTAATTTTGACATTGGCTTATTTGCCATTTCTATTAAGAACTCAGTTTTTCTAGTAGATCAAGTCTATGTGATAAAGTTCTTGGACCTGTCCACAATGTTTAAAAAACTGAAAGAAAGGACAATCAAAATTTAAACTTTTGAAAAATACAAATTCTAAATATCTGCTTTTATTGTCTGTCATTATGTAATCCAAAAATCTAGATATAATAGATTTGTAGAGATCTGCTTTCTTGAAGGAGAATTTTTATTTTTTAAATTTATTTTTATTTTATTTTAAGATTTTATTTATTTGACAGAGAGAAACACAGCAAGAGAGGGAACACAAGTAGAGGGAGTGGGAGAGGGAGAAGCAGGCTTCCCGCTGAGCAGGGAGCCCGATGCGGGGTTTGATCCCAGGATCCTGGGATCATGACCTGAGCCGAAGGCAGATGCTTAACAACTGAGCCACCCAGGTGCCCCGAAGGAGAATTTTTATATCATAATTTACTGTAGTCATCACTTCTAGTTTGTGGAGAAGTAATTACCAGTGAGCTCACAAAAGCTATTTATACACCAATGTTATGACATTTTTGAAAGTGTATTAATTTTATTTACTTGACTTTAAAAAGTAGGGTTGTTTTATTTTGAAGCATATTTGTATAATTCACTTGTCAGGGAAGTTGTTACCTGAGGAGTCTACGGCATAGTTTTCTTACTGTTTTTGACAGTGGTAAATATAGGAATGCAACCAACGAATGTATAATTCCTAATAAAGGCAGATTCTTTCTCAAGATGTAGTGTTGAATATCCATTCTTTTTTTGGCAGTAAAATAGTCACAGAAAGGGATAATGTGGATTTCAAAGACTGATTTCTGCAACATAATGTAGTGCTTGTTTTAAAAACATCTGTTTTAATGGCCTTCAATTACTCTCTGGCTCATTTAAAAAAATTAAAATAAAAAGATCAGAGTTCTAGGGTCTCAACACTTTCAGTGTTTCAAAGAGTTGCCTTGGTGGAGAGATTTGAGTATAGGTGAGATTGAAAGAGGAAATGTTTGGAACTAAAGGAATCTCAGACGTGTAAAGGGCCTAACCACGCCTTCCCTGACATCATCTTCCTGGCATGTGTTATTATAATTTAACTCCTCAGAGCATCAACAACTATTTCCTGTGGGAAAAAAAAAAAAAGAGAGATTGTGTTAACTTGGAATAATTTGCCTTGCCTAACCTATTTTGCATAAATTTCTATTTCCTCTTGATCTTAACATATTGAAGACCAGTGGGGGAGGGAGTTGGAAACAATGATGGGAGTAGAACTGACCGGTGGGCATTGTCAGATCTTCACTCTTTGAGAAGCAGGAGTTACCTGAAAGTTTTAAGTATTTACTCAGGAGAGAAAAAGTGGGAAGCAGTGCTATAATCGTTTATACTCTTAACAGGGAAGGATGATTTTTGTGTGTTTACAACATTTTCAGCTAGTTTCCATCAAATCAAACTTACTAAAACGGAGGACTAAGAACTTTTAGGTCTAACATCTCTTGACTGGGGGCAGCTATTCTGTTGTCTGTAATAAAGGTGACTCAGTTCATTAAAGTTTAGTGGTAATGTCTTTCCTTTGATCCCTCCTTTACCTTTTGAGCCCTACTACACCAATTTATGCACTCATTACTGATTATCTTTACAACTATAATAGGTATCCCACATGATCTCCTTGCCTCCTAGTTCTCCCTGCCTTGCCCCAAATAACTTTAAAGGACTTTTTCAAAAGATTTTTTGTTTGTTTATGATAGAGAGAAAGCAAGAGCAAACATGAGAGCAGGGGAAGGAGCAGAGGGAGAGGGACAAGCTGACTCTGTGCTTAGCATGGTGGTGGCCCTGGGGCTTGATCTCAGTACCATGAGATCATGGCCTGAGCCAAAAAGAAGAGTCTGTCGCTTAACTGACTGAGCCACCCAGGCACCCCCCCCCGCCATAACTTTATATTTGCTGCCATGACAGTCTCCCAACATCCCAGCAGTCAGTCTAGTGCTGAGCATTTATTGTATAAAAACATTTAATTGCTATATATTACCTGCTAAACAAAGCCCAAACCCTAGCCCAGTACCCACTATTTATCCAGCCTTTCTTTTTTTTTTATTTAAAAAAAAATTATTTTTATTTTTTAAAAGATTTATTTGACAGAGAGAGAGATTGTGAGAGAGAGCACAAGCAGGGTGAGCAGTAGGCAGAGGGAGAGGGAGAAACAGGCTCCCCACTGAGCCAGGAGTGGGATGTGATGCAGGGCTTGATCCCAGGACCCTGGGATCCTGACCTGAGCCAAAGGTAGATAGATGCTTAACCAATTGGGCCACCCAGGTGCCCCTTAATTTTTATTTTTAATTTTTTTTAAGTGGGCTCCATGCCTGGAGCCCACTGTGGGGCTTGAACTCACAACCCTGAGATCAAGACCTGAGCTGAGATCGAGAGTCAGACTTAACTGACTGAGCCCCCCAGGTACCCCTATCCGGCCTTTGCTTATCTTCCCCACCTACCCCCCTTGATTCCGTTATCTACACTGTGCTTTACCCAGTTGTCTTACCTGCAATTCTCTGGATATGCCCTTGGATTACTGGTCTACATTTCTAATTCCATAAGAAAATATGCTGTAAGA